TGCAAAAAGCATGATGCAGCTTATTTAAAAAGTCGATGAGATCTTCAGACCAGAAACAAAGTAGATAAGATTTTAGCTGAGAGAGCTTGGTAAAGACGCTCTGGTAACAGGTGCACTAAAGCTTAAATACAAGTAAGTTATGGGTTTGGAACAGAAAAAGAAAAGAGGTTAAAAAAATAGTATAAATAACAAACTAAGAACTACTGTGAACACAGTTATTAATGCTGCCTCGCATCAAATAAATACAAAGAGTAAAAATGCTCGTAATGTAATCAGTAGTGCCTTGAAAGGTGCTCGTAATGCAGTTAAAAAGTGTAGTGGTGAAAAAAGTATTGAAATTTTTGTATTTTACGCCTTTCTGCTCAAATTAGTGGAGCTTTACCTCTGATTCCTTCCTTTGCCAGCTTAAGTGCAACTGGTGCTTTGGCAAACGTTATTGCAGGAATTACAAAAAGCGTTAACGTGGCTATATCTACGAAAAAACAAGTAGAAAAAAATTAACGACATAACAAAAATATGAAAGCTATTGCATTAAGAAAAGGTATGTATCTTAAACCTCATAAAACTGGATTGGTAGTATAGTTAAAATCATTTGGTAAAGGCTTAAAAAAAAATGTCTAAAAAGTAGAATGATCTTAACGAGCTTTAACAAATGTAGATTTAACAAAATTTTCTAAGATTAAAAAAGTTTTTTTTTCGTGGAGTAATCATGCAAAATGACTTACCAAATGATGGGCTATGGTATCGTGAAACTGCTATAGTAAATCTCGACGATAAGAGAGGACCTGTAGGTGGTATATAGAAAATACGGCCAGAATGTTGTTTATTATGACAGTTTTGGGGATTTGCAACCACCGAATAATTTAATGTTATGTTAGGGTATTGACAGTTAAGTATAATCACAATCGATATCAAAAATTTAACTCTTACAACTGTGGTCATTTGTGCTAAAAGTTTTTGTCAAATCATACATAAGCACTTAAAATAATACAAAAAAGCTCAGTTTTACAATGATGGTCATAAAAGAAACATTAACTCCTAGTTTCTTTGGTACTTCTACCCTAGAAGCACAATATTTTCCACCTGTTGAATTATGACCGAAACACAAATATGTTCTTGGCTTAGTATAATTCCTAACGTTCAATTCAATTCCTAATATTGACGTCAATAACAACAAATTCTACGTAGGAGATCAAGTGTTAGTTATTCCAACTGGCAGTTATGAAATTCAAGATATTGGGTCATTTTTAGTCAGTGTGTCACAACCGAAAGATATAAGTAAAAGATTCTATAGAACAACTACTAGGTTTTACTGGAAAAGTACTACAAGATAACTTGACTCATGATTCTGACTTACCTATATCCATTTTTCAGATTAATGTATTACGAGTTAAGTGCAGTATTACTAGTGGAGCTTACATAAATAAATGAAAAGTTTATACAATTCATGAATTTTTTCCTGTAGTACTATAAGGATATACAATTTTTGAAATACTACTGCAAGTAATCTACTTACCTGTCATTGGAAGAGTCATATATCACTTACAACTGTGCGCAGTTGATCCAGATGGTAATTTAATCAATTTTTACGGAGAAGTCATAACGATAAGATTGCACATTAAATCTTTATCGTAATGGATAACATTTATAATGACAAAAAGTATACAAACAGCTTAACACATTCTGGGCTCAATCAGTGGCAAGCTTTTAAATAGTCGAGACGTCAGAAAGGACAACGGAAGCATCAAAAGTTGACAAATCAAAACATACAGTTTCTTAAAAGTTTTGGCTTGAAAATAAAAGGTGTGAACTAACGCTCAAATTTCTTACCTTAAAAATAGATGACATTTTAAGTATTTGGTCTCTCATTACGTTTGATAAGTCTATCGTGGGCTAAGAAATTTATGCTTATGAACCAGAAACATCATCAACATATAATAATAGTGATGAAATACACACATCAATTCAACATTAAGACCTATGCCTGCTACCATCCCACAGTTCCTTACATATTCATGAAAGATTAGTCAAAGCAGATAGTAATACATCGATTGCAAATACTAAATAAGTAAGCAATGCTATCCTTCATTTGTTTGAAGAAATAAGATACAAGATAGACGCGATAGAGACAGATAAGTGTAAAAATTTAGGTTCAACAACTCTCATTAAAAACTGGCTAACGCTCAATCCTGATCAAGACGTATTAACTGAAAATGCTGATCGGCTTGGCACTTCAAATGAACTTAATCTAACAAATAATAATGGCTACTTTGATCTTTTGATTTCTCTAAGTATAAACTTGGTTTTGCTGAAGACTATCGTAAAATAGTTGTTAATATAAAGCATAAACTTATACTTACAAGTCCTAGAAATAATTTAAATACAGTTGTACAAACTGGAATTTCTGCTGCAAAACCTAATGGAGTAACAACTTGGGAAGACTTCAAGATATGAATATTATAACACGTTGCTTAAAATTAATTATTCCAAAATTATTTTTCTTAAATTCCCACAATTCTTCTCCTGTTTATAAGGTTGAAAAATCTCACTGTACTGCAATTTTAAGAAATCAGTTATTTTTTCTCCCATCAATGATAAATAAAAAAAAAATCTTTAAAAACTTTTTAAAATAATTTAACAATATTCCTATGACCTTTGATTATAAAAAAAAAATGAGCATTACAATATAAAATAGCTAATTCTAAAACAAAAGTTTAGAAAGTTTAAAAAAAATCTTATGATCCAATGAATAATATAGTTACGAATTTCATGCAAATTGATGAACAATTAGTGTGTAAATATTTACATTTAGTATGAGTTACAAATCACAGAAAAAGATAAAGTAAGAGGTTTTTGTATCATCATGATCGCTCGTGGCATAGTGAGTTGGATATTTGACTAGTGTGCAGTAGATTGTCGGTTCGATTTCTGTTAAAAGGTTTTTTTTCTTTACGAAAATATTGTAAGGAATTAAACCAGTCGTAGTGTTGCATTTGACTCTAGGAAGATGTGAAAACATGGATATGGATATGTGCTACTATTTTTTATTGCGTTTTCAAACATGCAACACGAAAAAATTTAATTTCTTGAAATTTTGAAAAAGTCGACATTACAAATAGTAGTTGTGTCCTCAGTAAATAAAAAATGCTGAATTACGTATCATATTTTTTGTTAATAAAAAATATTTATTCGTGTAGAAAAAGTACCAAAAAAAATCAAACTAAAAAATATTTATATGATTATTCATTGCAAAGTGTGTTGTTTATCGCTCTGTACAATTGAAATAACAATTGGTTTGTGATAGTTGTACTAAGAAATAGATGTTGTGGATGCAATTTTCTTTAAAAATCTCGGAAAAATTCCGTCTATAGTCGTACCACGGATGGTAGTAGATTGATGTCGATTATTATTAATATGTAAATCTAAGAAATCGTTAAGAAAATCTATTAAAGGCTGAGAATTTTCATTATTGAAATTAATATTCAAATCGCTAGAAACAATCATAGGCAAAGAATTGTAATTCTCTTGCAATGCAGTAGAACCAATATCTGTATATGGTAGCAAATTAAACCGCAAAAAGCAAATAATTTCATTAATGTTAGTACTATATAAAATGTATAAACAACAACATGCTTAAAAAGTAAGGTTATATTAATGCGCGTCAATTAGAACCGACGGACGCAAACTAATGTACACACGCCAAAAGGTTCACACTGTGTAGGACAGTGCAGTCGACACCTTAATATCCCGTGCGCATTTGCCTCGTAAAATAGCGTGTACTGCACGGTATTTTTACGTGTAGGCATCTCTACCTTCTGTGTATACTACACAGTCTGTAGAACTGCACTCACACGCTCTTTTGACCTGCGTGCACGGCATTTTCGGGTGTAAGGAGAAGTAGTCGTCCTTGCGTTGAGCATATAATTATACGTATAATAAATACGATGACTTTCAAATCAGTGTATGGTTATTAAGTAACTCAGTACTGTTATTGATTATTGTTTTATTAAATACAAATGAAAAGTAAAAAATATTACTGATAGTAAATATACAATCGGTAAGAAAATCATAATACGTGTCTACTTATGATATATAAACCATCATCATAGAGACTGTTAGGATTCGAATGCAACTTAGTTAAAAGTTGCAGCCTTTTGCATGTATTTGAAGGCTTAGCTATAGCCAGTTTTGAAATAAATATTTCGTTTCCTTTAGTGAGTAACAGGACTAAATAGAGTAAAATTACTAATAACAAATTTGATTATATAAAAAATACGTGCATAGTTGCAAAAATTGTCGAAAATGATAGTATACAATTCAGCAAAATAATAAATATATTTGTGGTAGACAAGAAAATTATTGCTAGGTAAATTCCAATAAAACAAATTGGATTTAATTAGCATTTTTCAGCAGATTCTGTTTATTTAAAAAATGAAAGTTCCAATACATATATTACGATTTCTTAATTACTGTTACTCCATCCCTTATTTTTTAAAAAAATGATGGTTCATATCTTATAAGTAAACACGTATTGTGATTTTCTTACTGATGAGATATTTATTATCAATAATACTTTTTACTTTTGATTTGTATTTATTAAAACAACTATCAATAACAGTACTGAGTTACTTAATTACCATTCACTGATTTGGAAGTCATCGTATTTATTATACGTATATATGCTCAAGGCAAGGACGACTACTTCTCTTTATACCCAAAAATGCCGTGCACGCAGGTCAAAAGAGCGTGTGAGCGCAGAGAAACTTCATTAAAACCCCCTTAGCATCTTTCCCGTACATGGTTTGTAAATAACTATACATGTGTACATAATTATTTGTGCATGTGTCAATACTTTGTTGCTGTTTTATATGAAGTGAGTGTCATGAATCCGTCTCTAAGTTTTCTCAGCTTAACTTGCGTAAAAAAATGAGACTGCAAAAGTTTGACTTTAATTTTTAATAGTAAAAATTTATTAAATTGAATTATTAACGACAACAAACCTTTAGTTTCTCCTGGTACACTTAAATTACCACCAGCAGTTTGATAAATTGTACCGTAACTGCTGTCCTGATACGTCATTTCGTTAAGTCGATTAGAACTTAGAGCTCTTGGAATAGCATTACTCGGAACTCCATGTGGTGCCAAATGGGTCACTTCTGCTACTTGATGAGGATCCTCTGATTGTGGAAGGTCTGATATAAAACCCGTCTCTTTCCGATAAAAGTTGATAAAAATAAAGGCGACCAATACTACTAAACATAAAACACCATATGCTCGAAAGGTTACAGTTGTACCTATAAGATATATGATTCATTATTAAATAGTAACAAACATGAGTAAAAATAAACATACACCTTAAACACACGTTTAAATACTTTCAATAGTATACACTTCTTATTAAAAAAGGCACATTTAAGTGATGTAAAACAAAATTCTTATGATAGCATTTACATTATTCATTCTATAACAACATTTTTCAGAGATGTGTTTGTTATAAAATAGGCATTTAGAATATTTATAAATATATTATATCTTTTAAGATATTTAACACTAGCTTACCAACACAAAACAAACTGCTGAAAATAATCAAAAATGAATGAACTCGTTTCATAGGTACGTAAGAAAAACAACCAGAAAAAAGCAATAAAAGATTATGACTTGAAGTTCTTAAGTTGAACTTAAGAGTAAGGCTTTTTACGTAAGTACACGTCTTTATTTCTATAAATATTATCTTTCTTGTGTTTTACGAATGTATTTTATGAGTTGCGTCTTTTTAAGTAGTTAGAACTCTCTATCTAAAGTATTAACATTCTCTTAAAAAATTTTAAGAATACTATAAAGTTGGTCAAAATAAACCATTGACTTCAAGCTCTTGCCGTTTTTTAATCAGAAGATTATTAAAATCTCATTTAAAACATGACATTGTTTTTGATTCATTATGTAGTCCTCATTGTCCAAAGCTGGGGAATATGATTAAATATTATGAATATTAAATCTATGTACACAATCACGTTAGCGCTTAAAAAGAATTTTTAGTTATGGGTTGTGACAACTAAATTGCTTCAAGTGTATAATTAGTATTAGTTAAGAGAACAAGGTTAAAAGAGAAAAAATTTAGCTTCCTCTTATACATAAGAGTTAAGCAACTCTTTGTGTATCACCCTCCTTTTAAAACTGGTGCTAAGGTTTTTAATGAAGACCTGGACTGAGTATGGCTTGTGAGAGATGTTACCAAGGTTATGATACACTCACGCCTATGTCTGGGTATGGTACTACGAGATGGCGTACGTATAGTTCTCAGTTTTATTGTTAATAATGTTAATGGTGGGAATGATTAAGGGTTAGTGGAGCTGATACATATATCTTGGTACAGTAAGCCCTTTAGTTTGAGGCCATGTCAATTTTTTTTGTGGTAAGATTTAAATGTTACTGTCAGTCCGTGTCACCGTATTTTTTCATATGTGACAACGATTTTTAAGGTCCGATTATCCAAGAAACGAAAGTAGTTTGGTTAATGGATTATTTACTATAACAATCATAGGCATATATTATTTATACGTCTGGTAATGTATTCCAGTATTTATAACAGTTTTGATAAGTATCTTAGTAAAGTCAAAGTGATGAAACTTTTCCAATCTATTTGCGTGTATTGTATTACGTTTTTTATATAGCTATTTTAATCTTTTATTTGTTTATTATTTCTTGTATTTTGTAAGGGTGAGAGAAGTAATGACTAAACTCTTCATTTTTAACTGCTTTTTTTTAAGGCCTAATTTTAAATTTTACAGGATTTTCATAAGTTAATTTTCCAATGTTATTTATGTCGATAACTTAAATTACATTATAGTCTTGGTTTTTCAGTAGTTGATTTTTTTTTTTTTTTAGTACTGTAGATAGCGATTTCATACGTTGTAAGTGTTTTGTCAGCAAGGCTTATTTCATCAAGTAGTCCCATTTTTTATCGCTACCAGTGTATTGCTTAAGATATTTACCAAGATCGTAACGCGATTTCTTAAAAGTTCCATTTGCTTAGGGATGAATATCTGTTGTCTTCACCTACTCAATTTTGAAACTTCTTACTTCACATTATATAAGATTACTTAGAAATTTTTGTCTTTGGACTGTTAATATGACTTTAGGAGTCCCAAAAATACATGAAAATTCTAAGCTGGGTGGGCCTCTGGAATGAGGATAGACATAACGTATGCCAAAGAAAAAAGAAAAAAAGCGGAAGTCTACAGAGTTATATACTTATTTATAAGAAATATTGTTAGCAAAATTAATGTAATAACAGAGGCAAAAAAATGAATTGGACGTGTCACTGAAAACAAACGCTGAGAAAACTTTGTAAATAGTGGAAAATGTAAACAAGGATAATGTGTTGCAGCAAAAGCCAAGGACTCAGTTTTCTCCGTTTGAGAAAAATCAAATCGATAAAAACACAGAAACTCCTCTTTGTAATAAATGTATCTTATGCAAGGTCCCCGCCACTATTAGTACAACGATTTAGCTATTAGTTGAAATTATGCAGCATACAATTTTTTACAGATGTAGATGCTGAAATATCATTATTCAAAAAAATTTATTTTTTTGTATTAATATAGTAAGTCAGCACAAAATCCCATATCATTTTCCAATAAAAATAGAAAGCATTATTGGTTGGAACAGTCTGGAAATAAGCAATGGAATGATGAGCGTCAAAAAAAATTTTTTAAAGTTAACAAGCACTGAAATTCTTTCATTTGAATAGAAATGTTTTGAAATTGCTACGAACACTAGAAAAATTATTTGTACACGTATAAAAAAAATAAAACTAAAACATGCAGGTCTGAAAGGTTCTTACACATTATTTAAGGCTTAGAAGAACAGTCCAAAATGTAGAACCATGCCAAAAAAAAAAAAAAAAAAAAAATGATATGTTTGAGCATATGTGAGTGCACATACATTTTTTCAGATTTTTTACCATGTCCATTTTCGAGAAAAAATTATTAAATATTTACAGTTCAATACGATCTTTTATGAGGAAACCAAGTGAGATTGCCCTTTATTGAAAATTAGAGAATATTATAAATGTGTCAGTTGAAAAAAAAACATTTCTATAGACACCTTAGTATAAAAGAGAGACGCTTCAAAAAAGAATCATGACTTTCCAGACATTTTTCAAAAATAAATTTAATTGCAGTCGTACAAATTCAAGTTTGTAGAGTGCAAGAGAAGGTGCACAGTAAAGGAGGACATCTACGCGGGCCGGGGGAGCTCCCCATTTCTTGCCATTCTTGATGATACTCTCAAACCTTATCAAAAAGGAAATCGTCTGTAATAAGCTTTAGTGCAACAACAATAGAAAAATTTCCTTAGTAATGCTAAGAATAACAGACAATCAAATAAAAGCATCTATGCCATAAGTAGATTCATAGCACTGATAAGTCAGACGAGGGACGTAATATTCAATGATTGCTTGGGACAATGCTTTCAGTTAGGCTTCTCATCCCAGAACACTCTCATGAAAATACAATATGACTAAGATTAAAAAAAAATTGCAGGAAGTTAGAAATAACAATAGAGATGAAAAAAAAAAAAAACATTAAAAATAAGAAAAACAGCTTTTTTATAGATATGAAGTTGCAAGTTTCTAAAATTATAAAACTAGTGAAAGCGTCCGGTTAAAACTAGAAACGATCATGTCAATCATTCAAGACGTTATAGAGAAAAAGTTTTTTGTATTCAGCTTTGACGGGAAACCACTAAATTATAATCCAACATAAAATACAAATGACGACTGATAATTTAGCTGTTGTAAAAAATGCAAGATACCTACTGAAACAAGTAAAGTAAGTGAATATCCAACAACATAAACACATCTTTAAGTATGATCAAGCTTTAAAAATCTTTGTATAATATTAACGCACGAATGATCCTTAAATAAGCAGGTCCTAATAGTAAACAACGATATAGAGTCCTGAGAAATTTCATACTGCTAAGAAAAATTGTGGAAGCATCAGTTGCTCACCACTTTTTTGAAATAAAATCTTAGAACTTTAGTAGTTATGTAGTAGATCAATATGACTGATTTAAGGCTGAGAGCTCTCCCACTTAAAATAGTTGAGAATAATGGACATAAAACAGCTTTTTTTTTATAAAAATGACCACCTTAAACATACGTCGATGCCCATTAAAAGTATCAACTCTCTAAATATATTTATGCCTGTTGTGAAGCATAAGTATAAGTTGGCTTGTAGGTAAACGAAACAAAAATATTAATGGATGGCAACATACTATTTGTAGAAAAATGAAAACGAAACGGGTTAAGATACGAGATTTTCGACAAAATCTTTGAACATAAGTTTTACAATAAAACTAAAAAAGTGCTTATTCCTAAAAAAAGAGCGAAAGTACCAAGGCATACAGCTTGCAATGGTTCAACTTAAACAAATTCAAAATAAAATAGCAGTAGTTAGAGGTCATATGAAATACACTAACAAGGACAAAATAAAACAATTTTTTGGGATGGCAGATTACTGTCAGCATTTCATAGAAAAATATGGCAAAATCACACAGTGACTCCTAAAACTAATAAATAAAAAAAACAGTTGCATTTTAATGGGAGGAGTTAAAAAAAAAATTATTCAATTAATTGGTCCTAGCTACCTTTTAATGGGCTCATGGCTCCTGTTACAAGCAGACTTTTATAACTGCAACTGACAAATTAGATAATTTTATAAGAGTAATTTTAAGCCAAGGGAAGGTAGGAATTAATAATCCGTGCACATGAACATAGAGATACTTAGATACGAGTGAACTTTACTATTCTACGTGTGATAAAGTACTATTTGGAACAACATTTCGCAATGGAACAATTTAGATTATAACTGCTTCGACATCAATTAACTTCAATTACAAACTACAAGCTACTGAAAAATTCCTTTCCACCAAAAAACAATACTCAATTTTTCAGCATCACAAACTATACCCCAAAAAAATGGTCTTTTTGCTAACAATGAAAAAACAATGTTAATATACTATCGTAGTTCCTAATAAACAATAGATCAGAAAACATGCAAGAAATAGTATATAAGAAAAAACAAATAAGAAACAACACCAGACTATTCACAACTTAAGCTTCTAACACGGCAATTTAACGTGTCACAGGCCATCCCAAAATGTATGGTCAGTGTCAAGGGTCTCTTAGTTAAAGGAAATATGTTTCCTTGATGCAGCTTGCTTAATACTTTTTTGGTAAAGAAAATGCACCTACGATCCAATTATGTAATGAGAAAACATCTTGCAGGGCTCT